ATTCCTTTGAGATGGCATTACCAGGAAATTGGAAGGGGGCTGAAAGACACCCCCCCACACACACACACGCACACCATGAGAAGAGCGTCCGCTGCATATTACCAAACTATTCACTCACACACATTTCCCAGCCTTTCACCTGTCAAAGGAAATCCTCTAGTGTCAAGAGAAAATAACAGCAACATATCTGCAAAGGCTTGGCATTGGCAAGGGAAGCTCAGCTCAGGAGTCTCTGACTCCCCGCTGAGCCCCAGGTCTCCAACAAAGGAAAACAAGGCAAAGTGTCAATACTAAATGTAGCGATTCACTGATAAATGTATTTATGTGCTGGCTCAATGGGAAAACTTTAGAAAATCATAATAAATCACTCATTGTATCAATCTTCTCAGTTCCAATGGTATTTAGGATCAGGGAAGTGAGGTATAAGGGGAGGGGTGAGTGAGCCCACCATAATCCCAGAGGTGTACAGTCACATCTGCAGGGCCTTCCCAAGGAGTCATGGCCAGTGATACCCTGCCCCAAGAGTGTCAGATAGATAACCATCTCAATCACAATGCCTACCCGCCCCATAGTGGGATGAAGCTGTTATAAGAATTTTAAGGTCACATATATATATTCAGAACTGTATATATAAACCACATGTCTGAAAATCCGCAGATTAGGTCCTGAACAAATTGACCTCAAATATTTTTCTGCAAGGTCAAGGTGGGAAACCTCCCGATTTTCTCTTTCCTCACAAATCCTGTCCTCACCAATCCCATCTTAAGAGCACATTCAAGATATGAACAGGGTGTGAGCCTGTGACCTGTGACCTAGATTCAGGGATTAAGTAGTTATAATAACAAAAGAGTGGCCAAAATCCAGATAATGCAATTAGGTATCTTGCCAGACAGGTGATAAACAACACACTCAGATTTCTGTTGTAGTTCACCTGCCCCTTCTCTGATGTACATATGATGTTTTGGGGGTGGTCTTGGGATACACCCCTTCTGTGGTGTATGTATGATGTTTCTGGGGGTGGTCTTGGACTCCAGGGCAGGCAACTTAAAATGTCTATATAAGGGCTTGCATGCATGGCTTGGGGTTATCCTCCTCTCTCCTGCGTGTGGGTGAGCACCCTGTTGCAACAGTTAATAAAGATCAGGCTTACTAGCTGCTTTGCTTCTCAATATTCTCTGGTTGGCCTCTGTTATTTTATCCTACCGATAGAGAACCTACAAAAGGACTTTATATGGGCTCTAGGGTACCCCATAATGGAAAAGGAGCAGGGTTTTTTTTCTTATATCAAAGCCCAGTCAAGACAAAGGGGTGTATTTGACTTGACTCAGGGACTTGGAAACTATAAATACTTTCCTTTGTACTGTGATGGAGTAAGTATGAAAGACTATATTTGAGTGACGGGCATGCCTGGATCTCAGGTTCTACCTGAGACCACACCTTTACTGTGACATATCTATGATGTCTTGATGATGTATCCTGAGATGTATTGTGGGAAACTTTGAAATATGGATGTAACCCATTGATTCTCTCTGCTTCTCCTGTGTTGTAGTTTGGAGTCTTGTTGCAACAAAAAAGATTGGGCCTCCTGGCCACTGGTTTGCTTCAGTTTCTTGACTGTAGTCTTGTTTGACCTTCCAACCTAAGCCTGCGGAACTCACTACTGCAATATTAAATACTTTAGTTCCTGAATCTCCTTTTTACAAATTTACACCTTATTGATAGTCTGCTCAGCTTAGCAGAAACTTGCCAGGCTGAATCTGCAGGGAGGATTTGCAAGTGAAAAGACAATTGGAAAGTTTCTCCCATCCTCCTGCTGCAAGAGAAATATTTGAGGTCCTTTGGGGAGAGTCCAAATGGCTTCAGGATTGCTCTCCTGTACTATTTTAGACACGTGGTTTATGTATGTTTGCATTTATGAACATTTATTCTATATTTGAGACCTCAGAATTCTTATAACACTGTGCTTATGAATCAGTTACTTTGAGGTGCATTTTTAACCAGCTCTTCAGCCCGGCTTACATACCAGATTGAAACCAGTCACTACGCACAGGGTTGCAATGTAAAATACACAGCACACAAGGCAAGATGGATGGGGAGGAAAGAGGAAACATTCCTCCCAAAGGAGCCAATTCTCAGAGAGCCGTTCTTATAAGTTAGGGAAACATTTTGGCCGTAGGAGGTGCTTGAGGGAAGGGCCCTGCTTCCCATCATTCCTGCTGAGGCAGCCTGATAGAATGGCTGTTTCTGTGTGGTATTTGAAGACCTGGTGGTTATAAGAATCTTAAGGTCTTATATATAATAGATGTCCATAAATGTACCATGCAAACACATATATAAATATATGAACCACATGTCTGAAACCCACAAAAAAAACTCCTAAAGCCATTTTGACTCTTTCAGTCACCTCAAATATTTCTCTACAAGGTGGAAGGAAATGCAGAAGCCTCCCTATTGTCTCATTTGTTCACAAATCCTGTCTTAAGGGTGCGTTTGTGTATGAATAGGAGCCTGTGACCTGGATTCAGGATTAAGTAGTTATCATTACAAAAAGAATAGTCAGGCTCTCCAGGTAAACCCATCAACAGGTTTACTGCCGGCCCTTCTCTGATGTATGGATGATGTATTGGAGGGTGGTCTTAGGCTACACCCCTTCTGTGATGTATGTATGATGTACTGGGGAATGGGAATTCCAAAGGTCTTTACAGTGGTACCTCGGGTTACAGATGCTTCAGGTTACAGACGCTTCAGGTTACAGACTCTGCTAACCCAGAAATATTACCTCGGGTTAAGAACTTTGGTTCAGGATGAGAACAGAAATCGCGCGGCAGCAGTGGCAGGCCCCATTAGCTAAAGTGGTACCTCAGGTTAAGAACGGTTTCAGGTTAAGAATGGACCTCCAGAATGAATTACCGTATTTTTCGCTCTATAAGACGCACTTTTTCCCTCCTAAGAAGTAAGGGGAAATGTGAGTGCTTCTTATGGAGTGAATGCAGGCTGCACAGCTATCCCAGAAGACAGAACAGTGAGAGGGATCGTTGCGCAGCACTCCCTCTCGCTGTTCTAGCTTCTGGCTTAGCCGCGCTCTGTCCCTTCCCCCACCTCCCGCAAAAGCCAGCAAGAGCCGCGCTCCCTTTAAAGAGCCACGCAGAGCGTGTGTGCGGCTCTTGGGGGCTTTTCCCCGAGGAGGGAGAAGGGCAACCCGTCAGTGACGGGCAGCCCTTCCTTCTCCTCGGGGAAAAGCCTGCAAGCGCCGCACACACACTCCACGCGGCTCGTGAAAGGGAGCGCTGAGCAGAGCCTGGGAGGCATACAGGCTCTGCTCAGCGCTCTGCTCAGCGCTCCTTTAAAGAATTTTTTTTCTTGCATTCCCCCTCTAAAAACTAGGTGCGTCTTATGGTCAGGTGCGTCTTATGGAGTGAAAACTACAGTATGTTCTTAACCCAAGGTACAACTGTATAGGAGTTTGCACACTATTGTTCTCGGTCCTCTTCCTCTCTCCTGCGTGTGGGGGGAGCACCCTGTTGCAACAGTTTAATAAAGATCAGGCTTACTAGCTGCTTTGCTTCTCAATATTCTCTCTTTGGTCTCTGTTATTTTATCCTACCAACAGAGAACCTAAAAGAGGACTCTATATGGGCTCTTGGGTACCCCATAAGGGAAAAGGAGTTTTTCTTATATCATGGTCCAATAGTGGTTTTGTGCTAAATGGGCAAATGAAGGCACTGGCTTATTTATTCCTTAGGTATGCACTTGCAAAACATACACACCCACCAGTGTTCAAGATTCAGGTAGGTAGACATGTTGGTGTGATGCAGTCGAAAAAAATGAAAAAAATTGTCCAGTAGCACGCACTTTAGAGACCAGCTAAGTTTGTTCTAGGTGTAAGCTTTCATGTGCATGGACACTTCAGATATCTGAAGAACTGTGCATGTACATGAAAGCTTATACCCAGGACAAACTTAGTTGGTCTCTAAGGTGCTACTCCACTAATGTTCAAATTATGTTTTATTGTGTTGTGCTTCATTTTATGGTGGATTGTATGTGAAATTTTGAAAAACAAAACACCATTATGGATGTCCAGCCAAACATCCCCACTCTCAACCAATAACCCTTGCAGCTGCAACAAAGATTAAACTGCCAAGTGGGCAGATGGGGGAATGATGAGTGCAGATTTGAGGCTGTTTGGGCTAATGGGACTAGTTTCTTCTGGCTACTGGCTGTGTAGCCAGGCACACCAAAAAAAACCTCATCTCTTCTATTTCTCTACTCCCCTTGAGACTGGAAACATGAGAGAGGTTGGTGGTTACTGCCTCTTGCCATTTTTAAAACCCAGGTAGGTGAGAGCGCATCTAGGTGCATTCTCCCTTCCTTGGCCTAGCAAAGTGGGTTTTTTAATATTCCAGGGCCATCTCAGGCTCTAGGCCAGGGGTGTCCAACTCCCAAAAGACAGCGATCTACTCACATTGCTATAAACTGGCAGTGATCTATCCCCCTTTTTTGGGGTTCAGGTCCAAGTTGAGCTTTTTTTTTTAGGAAGGAGGAAAGCCCTGGTTTTGGGGGGTGCAGGGCAAAAATGTTGAGCTTTTTTTTTAGGGGAGCCAGAGTTGTTGAGCTTCTTTGGGGGGAGCCAGTGATCTACCACAGACGTCCACTGATCACGATCTGCCTGTTGGACGTGCCTGCTCTAGGCGATTGAGGAAAATATTCTGCTGATTACTGAAATGAGGCAGCGAGGGCATAACTGCACTTTCCTCATGTTTGTTATGTCAGAACCATAGCAAGTTCTGTGGATCAGCTGCATAGCATCTGCCTTGCATGCTAAAAGCCCCAGCATCTCCAGGTAGGGCCAAGAGAGACCCATTGCCTGAAACCCTGGTGAGCTGCTGCCTGCCAGGGTAGACAGTACTGAGCTAGATGGACCAAGGCCTGACTCAGTATAAGGCAGACACCTATGTTCCAGAATCATTAATACAAATGTAGGTTATTGCTGGATATTAATGAATCTGATGGTAGTGATGAGCCACGTACTGCACAGTGCTTCTGCAGAATCTTCCACGGATGACACAAGCACTTCCCCACCCTGTCGTTTTCCTCAGAGATTCCTCAGAGGCTTGCCTTGTCCGGGATTCTGCCAAATCTGGAGAGGATGCTGTGCTCAGGTGGGGCCTCCTCCTAATCCCCATAGCGACATTTTGCCTTGGAACGTGGCAGGTAAATGCAAACGCTGAATCTGAGGCTTGCTCTGTGAAGCCTCTACCCCCACCCCATTGTTTAAAGTTTTATCTTAGATGTAAATTATATAACATTTAAAATAACTTGTCACTTCCTATACTTCCAGTCAGTCATTTCCTACAATATTAAGAATAAGTCCTCTTCAAGACATTGTGTGAATTGTAGGTGGGAACAAACTTTGCTGACTATTAATGAATTCTATAAATGAATGACATAACAAAAGAAATAATTTTTTTGCAGTGCATCTCATGAGTTCGGTATGGTGATTTAGTTTTTCAGATAGGCCTACCTGCTGTACATTTATCTAGCCATTTATTATGTGACAGTCCATTTATGTTCTTCCAGTGGGTTGCTAGTACTGATCTGGCTGCTCTACAATTCTACGTAGAAGGACATAAACTCCACAATTTTATGATTCTCAAAAAAAAAAAGTTCTCCCCCTTTCTTCCTCCTCTCTCTTCCCACTTCCTCTTTTCCCTCAATCCCAAATTGCCAATAACAGTAATGTCTCACTCTGGATACAACTGATTTGTTTGAATGGTTTTATGACTTGAAAACAAGAGACTCAATATATTGTATTGGTATCAAAGAAAATAGTTTATTAAAAATATATTAAACAAAAAAAAAAATACATTATCTTACAGGGAACAGGGAACCAACCAGAAAGCTGATCGTTCAGAAAAAGGCTGTACATGGTGCAGCCACAATAAGAGTTCTTGCTTATACAGGTAGGGCTACTCTGTTGTCTTCTGTCGCTTGGGATCTGTGGGGCTATGGCTCTCAGTGGGGCTCCTTCTGACTCCTTCCTCTGCCCTCTTGGCCAGCCGTGGATCTCTTGGCCTATTCTGAGATGTAGCCTGTGGGTTTGAGGAACTGGAGTGCCCAGATGCTGGCATTAGAGGTGCCCCACTGTTCCTTGGAGCAGGAGCAGCAGAAGATGATGGCTGGGGATGTTGTACAGGGACTTCATTCATCAGGGCTGCCATGGTCACCTGCCCAAATCTGGGTACCACCAGACTTGGCTGGGCTTGCGCAGGAGATTCTTTATTGCTCCCTGGAGCAGGACCGGGAGCAGGAGCGGGAGCACCAGAAGATGATGGCTGGGGATGTTGTGCAGGAGCTTCACCCGATGTGGCCACCGTGGTCACCTGCCCAATTGCTGCTCTCGCCAGTCTCTGCTGGACTGACATGGGCTTCAGGATCATCTTAGCACCAGTTGCATAGCAAGGAATACTGTTGTACATGGTTTTGGAGGTGGTCTTGATGATGGAGCCTCTTTTCTGAGCATCCTGAATCAATGCGTTCCAATCTTTATTTTCCTACAAAAGGAAATTTTATTTTTTACAAAACAAATTCTTATGATTTGGGGGTAGTGGTGGTCTATAAGCTGGGGGAAATTAATCTGATGCCTCAAACTAGAAACTGTTGTAACTTGATCCCAGTTCTCTTTCCTTCTCAGGGAGGGGAACCTGGCGGTGGTGGAATTAATCTGCCCCCTAGTGTTCCCAGCTGGCCTGCCAACCTTCAACTTCTTCTCAACCCCACTGCCTGCTGCTTAGGAGACCATTGTAGCTTCTTGGCTGAGCTGCAGGAAAGTGGGAGTTTGACTGTGTCGGTCTTGGGCTTCCCTTGCTTTTGGAGTGCACCTCTCAACAGCTTTCAGCTTGGGGGAAATGGGGGCCTTGGCCTGAAAAGTGTTCTTCACCCTTCCTCTAAGGCTGGCTGAATTAATCTAAAACACTAGAGACCACTAATAATGGGTGTCAGGAGAAATGAGGTCAAACTTCCTCTGGATTGCACCCACTGGTAAACAGTGGTTTGTGAACACACAACAGAGGATCCCTCCAATATGGCCGTACTCGGGCTATAAGGATCCTTCCCTCCTCACTGCAGTTACAAAACAAGCAGCAGCAGCAGGGAAACGAGTGTTTAACAGGAATCCATTCACAACTCTGAACTTTACAGGAGCAAACCATCATTGCCAGGCCTTCCAATGGACAAACCTGGATTGGAGGCCCTCTAGTGGCAAAGTTGTTATGGTACAAGGCTGGGGGAAAGGACCATATGAAGACTTTGCGCCCATATGGGAGTAACTGTGACCTCATGCAGGAAAGTGCCAGGATGGAAAGAGGGGAGTCCCCCATGCCAGCTGCGTTATCCCCTGACTGGGCGCCTCCCTGGGAGAAAACTGGCAGGACAGGAGTCTGATGGGACAGAGGCAACCAGCATGGCAGAGGACGGCATCCCTTTCTCTGCTCCCCTGCACACAGCTGGCATTCTAGCACAGAGGAAGGAGTGGGGAACTTTTGTGGCCCTGCAGAAGTTGCTGAACTCCATCTCTCACCGCCCCTCATCATTGGCCAGGCCGGTGGGGCTGCTGGGCATCGCACATCTGAAGGGCTGCAGGATCCCCGGCCCTTACAGCATCTCACAAACACCTCCCAGAAATGCCATGCTTGGCCTTGCATGAAAAACCACAGCGTTCAATGGTCAGGAGTGATGGGAGTTGTAGTCCAGTCCATTAGCTCTGGAATACCATACTGCCAGTCTAAGATCAACTGGTGAAAGAGCTAAAGTAACGTAAGTTTTACCATCTATGAAACCCGAGTTTCAGGTTCCTCTGGGCGCCCACAAGCAGGGACAAAATTGAGATGGCACTGACCCCCCCAACAGGACCTTCTCAGTGGTAGCTCCCTCTTTGTGGTGGCCCCCTCCCTGGGGAGCTGCACCTGTCTCCCTCATTGCTGCCTTTCAGGAGGAATTTGAAAACCTGTTTGTTTACACAGGTGCCTTCGGTGGCGGAAGGACACTGGATACGGGACGAGAGAATGCCTTTTCCAAAGAGGTTTAGAACTGTAGCTCTTCTTAGAAGGTTCTTTAAACCATTGTTTTGTGTCTGATATGTTTACCGCCCTGGGCTCTGGAGGGGCTGGACCTAAATTCAAGGAATGAATAAATGTGGCCCAACATTTTCCCCAACCCCGCAGATTCAACAGATTGAATTGTCTACAACACCTCTGGCCAGCCTTGATCCCTCCTGAAGTTTTGAACTGCAATCCTCACCTGCCACAGCCAGAGCAGCAAATCTGTGCCCCCTTTTCAAGGGCAGGCGGAGGGCACCACCTACAGACACAGCGTACTGGGCCTGTTGGCACCCTGCTCCTCCAAACAACCCTATGAAGTGGGCTTGATTTATGGCTTTGGGAGGCGATGGGGGGGGCCTTGGGCCAAGCCCCACACACTGCCAGGGCACCCCCACTGGCCCTCCAAGTCCCGCCTTTCTCTACAAGGAGGGCTGACGTATATATCCAGAGAGAGACTTCATGCCTTCTTCCACTTACCATGAGAGTCTTCAGGTGTCCCAGGATGAAGAGGCTGTACTTGGCTCGGGTGAGGGTGACATTCAGACGCTGCAGACTCTTCAGGAACCTGGAGAGGGCAAAACAAGCCACAGGTGAAGCTGGCTCAGGATGGGCAGTGTGTCTCCCCCCCCCCCGTGTCCTCCTAGACGACCACCGTGGGGTTCACTAAATCCCTGCATTTGTTTTTTGTTTTTTTTTTATTAAATTTTTATTAGAAAAAAGTTACACGTTACAAATCAAAAATCAGATACATATATACATACAGTTAAAAGGACAAAAGAAACAAAAAGAAGAAAAAAGAAGAAAGAAAAAGGAAAAGAAAGAAAAAGGAAAAGAGCAAGAAAAAGCAGACTTCCGTTCAACTTAGTATGGAGTTACATAACCATCTTATAATCTTTGCAGTAGAGTTTACAATTGTATTATACATCGAGGGTGTTAACTATCTTCTGCTGTTATATTATTAATGCCAGTATTATTCTTAACGTAAATTAAAAAATTCTTCCATTCATCTTTATGTTTCATGGTGTTATTTTGCCTTATTTTCTGAGTTAATCTCGCTAATTCTATATATTGATATAATTTCACTTGCCATTCTTCAATCGTGGGAATATCAGGAGATTTCCATTTTTGTGCAATTAGGATCCTGGCTGCAGCTGACGCATATTGGAAGAAGGTTCGATCTGGTTTTTTAATTTCCTCATCAATCATACCCAGAAGAAACAATTCAGGTTTTTTGGGGAAGTTATATTTTAAGATTTTTTTCAGTTCATCATAAATCATTCCCCAGAATTCCTTTACTGCCTCACAAGTCCACCACATGTGGAAAAAAGTCCCAATCTTATCTTTACATCTCCAGCAGCAATTATCAACGGTCTTATACATCTTTCCTAACTTTGCTGGAGTCAGGTACCAGCGGTACACCATCTTCTCTAAGTTTTCTCTGAGGGTTGCACACGCCGTGAATTTCATACCCTTCCTCCAAAGTGTTTGCCATTTACTATAATCAATATTATATCCTAGGTCTCTATCCCACTTTACCATCCCGCCCTTCACCAAGTCCTCTCTTGTATCCCATTCCAATAGTTGTTTATATAATTTAGAGAGGTGTTTATCGTTACTCTCTAGGATTTCCACCTGATATCTTGATTTTTTATCCCTCACCCCCTGCGTCTTGTGCTCACCCCACAGTGCATTAATCTGGTGAAAGAGTAGCCATTCTTTTATCTTATCTTTCAGCTCATCATAAGGTTTTATCTTCCAACCCTCTTCTGACTTTGTCAAAAGATCCTCATAGGTCCATCTTTCCTCCGTCATGTTTGGTTTTTTTAATCTGATGATGTCCACTGGGGAGAGCCACCAGGGGGTCCCTTTTTCAATCAATTTTTTGTATCTATTCCACACCGCCAAGAGTGAACCTCTAATTATATGGCTTGAAAACCCTCTATGCACCTCACCTTTCCCCTGCCACAGGTAAGCGTGCCACCCGAACCTAATGTCAAAGCCCTCCAAATCCAATAAATCAGTATTCCTAAGGGTGGCCCATTCCTTTAACCAACTTAAACAGGCTGCCTCGTAATATAACTTTAAATTCGGTACCGCGAACCCCCCTCTCTCTCTTGCATCTGTCAGGTATTTAAACTTTATCCTGGCTCTCTTCCCCTGCCAGATAAACTTAGTCAACATTTTTTGCCAGTTACTAAAACGAGTGATACCCTTAATTACCGGGATATTTTGAAACAGAAACAGTAACCTTGGAAGGATACACATTTTAATCGCCGCCATCCTCCCCGTCCATGAGAGCTTCAGCCTCTGCCAGGTATCCAGATCTTTTTTAATTTCTTGCCAAATCTTGTCATAATTATCTTCAACCAAATTTATATTTTTTGGAGATAGCCAAATTCCTAAATATTTTGCCTTATTCACAATTTTAATGCCCGTCTTTTGTTCCAATTGGTTTTTATCTTCATTGGCCAGATTCTTTGTTAAAATTTTTGTTTTCTTCCTGTTTAGTCTAAATCCTGACAGTCTGCCGAATTCCTCTAACAATTCAATCAACTTACAAACACTATCCAATGGTTCTTCCAGGGATAGGACTAGGTCATCCGCATAGGCTTTTAGCTTGAATTCTTTCCTTCCAATTCTAATACCCTTCACATTCCCAGCATCTCTTATTCTATTTGCGATGACTTCCAAGACCATTATAAATAACAAGGGGGACAAAGGGCAACCCTGTCTTGTACCTTTTTCAATCTTAAATGGTTTGGTCAAGTTGTTGTTTATGATCAGCATAGCCTGTTGTTCCGAATATATTGCTCTGATGCCTTTCAAATAGGGGCCTCCAATACCTGCCTTTTCCAAGCATACTA